CGTTTAGACTGAAGCCCGAATGCTGGTGCGAAGCTGCCTCTGAGGATGGGGGTCTGGGCACAAGTCTGTGATTAAGAGGTGCCCAGGGGGAGCCAGTGGGTGGTCATGATTAAAGGCCTCTGTTGTCGTCTTTGTCTGTCTGTCTGTGTGTTTTACTAATGGGGAGGAAAGGGTGCTTCTCAAGTAAACTGTGTTCGAATCTGAACGTAAGGAGGCCCAGTACTCTATTCGCAGAAACAGAGCCCCTCACAACCTCACCGCACCTCCGCTTTCCCCATCCCGCCTGCCCTGGCTTTCTCCCCTCAACCAGCAGATCCTGGTTTCTGTTTTTAAATGTACAGTTTTGTTGTGAGTTCTGTCTGGAGCAGCTGCTTAATTGGTCTCTAGAAAACTGAAACAATCACACCAGGCTGCTAATGAGCTCAGGGTCAGCATTAGGAGACACAGTAGTTGGGAGCATTCCATATAAATGTACCAAATGGGTAAGTAGTTGTCACCCTTTTAAAAATACAACTGTGAAAGGGTTGCTAACTCGTTCTAGGCATCTGATGAAGTCTTAATTATCCACAGCGATCACAGCACATAAGAGCGTTACATAAGCCACACCAGGGTGAGCCTTCAGTTCAAGAGCAACCAAAGGGTTGGGTAGCTGGTGGCCCGGGACTGAGAAGAAGGACACACGGCATGGGCTTGAGTCCACTCACAACGCATGTCTACACAAAGCGCAGAGTTGAAAGGCACAACCCAAGCTTCGGTGTAAGAGGGATCAGTGAGATCTCTCCTAGGCCTGACACCTTTACCCCAAGGAAGCAGCTTTTCACTGCAAAGAAGTAAAAGAGTCCACTAAAAGTGGAGAAAGGTATAGGGTGCAAATGGAACATTAGGGCTAAAGCAGGCACTTTTTATTTCCTGCAGGGCAGAGGAGGTGCAAAATGGAGATGGGAGGATAAGTGATTATCCGATCTGCTTCCAGGTGTCACGGGCATCCCTCAACTCAGACTTGGTGTGTTTTCCCAGACTCCCACCTCCTCCCTTAGGCTCTGGCTCCTTGTATTCCCTCCTTTGCTGGCCGACACTTTTGGAGTCAAAGGCCTTAGACAGGGAGTGAATGAGTGAGAAAGTCCCATGGGAAACTGTTTAACATCTTTAAATGTCTGAAAATAGGCTGCACAACTCAAAATCATTATGTTCTACACATGTGGGTTTTCCAAACTCTTGAAGATGATATCCTAAGACCATAGATTACAGAAAATACATTTTAAATATTCTTGCAATGCAATTTTCAAGGACTAGGCTATGATTACGCTATTAATTATTAGATTATTGCTGTGAATTATACTTTAATATGTCATACAGAGTCAACATATAAACACATCTGTACATAATAGATGTGTATAAATACACAAAGGCACTTATACACAGAACCTATATTTGAAAAGACTCGATTCTTAAATTTGGTAGCCCTTTTTAATTTTTTTTAATATGTTTTTTTAAATTTTTTTTAGAGAGGGGAGGAAGGGAGAGGGATAGAGAGAAACATTGATCAACTGCTTCCTGCACACCCCCTACTGGGGATCAAGCCTGAAGCCCAGGCATGTGCCCTGACTGGGAATCAAACCAGCGGCCTCTTGGTTCATGGGTCAACCGCTGAGCTACACTGCTGGGCTTGTAGCCTATTTTTAGATAAAAACCTTAATATCCCCACCACACCTTGAAAACAATGAACTGTTTTTATTTTTAAAAATCACTCATAGTTATTTTATGTTGTGCTCGCAGTACTCGAAGAAGCTGGAGAATGTAGAATTTAGGTGAAGATGCAGAGGGTTGAGGCTCTGGAGGAGCAGCAACCACCCTCCTCACCATCCAGCGATTTTTATTGTGAGCTACAGAAAAGCAGGTGTGAGAGACAGTGATCAGCAGAAACCATAAAATGCGCAAGAACAAGTGGCTTTGTTCTGAGCTATATGCTTCAAGTTTTTCCTTAAGGCCATAACTCTCCTGGGGGCAAGCTTCCCAGAATGATAAGGATCTGTTTTCAGTTCCTGGCAGAAATATTTCCCTTGTTTTCAAGGGGACATCTGTGATTCTGGGAAGCTTGCTACCCAACTCCTTCAGAGTTTGTTTGTTGTTTGCTGGCCTTTTCCTACAATTTTACACTTAGGATGTTGTGTTTCCTTTCTGAGCCCAATCAATGCAACTTTCTATTAATAACTTGCCCTGATAGTGTGCGTTAAATATGAAAAGTTTCAGCGTGGACATCGGCATCTCTGAGTTTCCTCAGGGCATTATCTTATCCAGCTAGATTCTTACTGTCTCAAGTCCCCTCTGATTGAAAATCCCCATTTAAGTCTCCTGGGAAGTTCTTTCCATGAGCTCTTACTTAAAATTCATTTTACTCTATTAATGTAATTGTTTTGGATGAAAACCAATGGAACTCATAGGATAAACTTTGGATAAGCATTAGACCTTCTGTGGATGCTTGGTAAAAATACAGATGCTGAGGTCCCCCCAAACCTGCTAAATTAAAATCTATGGAAGTGAGAGGGGTTGGGGGATTGAGAAAAAAAGAAGATAGAAGACAGAACTCATGGACATGGACAATGGTGATGGGGGGGTAGAGGTGTGAGAGGGCATAGAAGGGATAAATGGTGATGGAAAAAAGAAAAGAAAAAAAAGAAAAGATGAGAAGAAAGGAAAGGAAGGGAAGGGAAGGGAAGGGAAGGGAAGGGAAGGGAAGGGAAGGGAAAGAAGGAAAGAAAAGAAAAGAGAAAAGAGTCTATGGACACGAGGTTTAAGTACCTGCATTTTTATTACGCTCTTTTCAGTGGCTCTGATAACAACAAGAAGTTGAAAACTTTTGCTTCTGCGAGTATTAGGGCAGGAAGGAATCTTAGAAATCAGGAAATCCCATCCATCCCGTTTCACGGATGTTACAATTGACCCCCAAAATTAGGTGGCTTGCCTGAAGTCAGACAAGCAGCCAAGGAAAAAGCTATGAGGACAGTGCTCTTTTAGGAGCCTCAGAGAAGAGTTTATTTGAGCTAAACTGATGACATATGCTGGGGAGCAAGATCTCAAATGCTCCTGAGGACCAAACAATTTTAACAGATGGAAAATGTGACCTTAGAGGAAGGAAAAGGGAAGTTGGGTGGCTTGGATCGTGAGGGCATAGCCACCTCAAGTATCTAAAGGAACTTAATGCCTGGGTTGCTGGCTGTGCAAAGCCATGTCTTACTAAAACAGTAATTCTCGTTAATAGAGTAGGGAAATACTGTACAGGCACATAGCAAAGGTCAGAGTTGAATATTCTAGGATAGGGAGCGTGGAGAGTTGCTAGTGAGGGCCCAGTTTGCTGCATGGGCGTATCTGTGTCAGCCCTTATCCTCATATGTGCTTAGAGTCTCCTTCTCTTCTCAACCACAGATTCCCAGGTCAACCTGTGAGCTTTGCAGCTTCAACTAGTCAGTAAATGGCACCCCCCCCCCC